CAAAGTAAGAAATTCTGGAGGTTTAAGAAAGAGAGGTGCCAAATAGTCATCTAAAAATAGAGTAAATGGACTAAAAAATGTAGACTGTCTTGCTTATCTTTGTATCTGCATAGCCTAGCACAGTCCCTAGCATGTTATGGATACCAACTATGACTTGAAGCTTGAGAACCACTGGGTTTTCATGAATACAAATTTTAAAAAACTCCAAAGGTTATTGATTTTTTTAAATCTAGAAAAGGTCTGTGACTAGGGCATGTGACATACTAGTTGCTTATGTCACAGAAAATAATGAAACCAAGGATGAATGGGAATCTTCTAATTACTCTTAGGACTTTTTGTTGTTCTTCCGGAATGTGTTATAATGTATTTCAAAAAGAAAAATAAACCAAATCCCCAAAATGCATCAATAAAATGCAAGGAAAATAAAATTTAAAGAAGAAAGGGATTGGGAATTAAAAAATAAAATAAAACCAGGAAGGAATGAAAGGAAAGAGGTAGCAGCTATTATAATACTTTTAAAGAAAAGGATCCAGAATGAAAATAAGCACTAAGCACGATTTGTCATAGAGGAGAAATTTGGGAAATCTAAAATAGAGTGAACATGAGAGTACCTTGATTTAAGTGGGTCATAAGTATCATGAAATGTCTTATTCTTGAGAATTAGGTGAAATCAATATAACCATACATTATGTTTAAACCATGAATTCTCTAAAACATAACCATTTCTATAATGGCATTTAATAATCATGAAAGCATAAAAACTTGAAAACCATATTTGGAAGTACATTAACAGGACTTACTACAAAAGATATAATTTTGGGTGATTTTTATACAGTTTGACATGGTTACCCACTTCTTCCTTAATCAAAGTGACATAATAGCTTTGAGAGGAGTTCACAAACTCTCCAGGGTTAGAAGCAGGTAATAAAATGAGGGAAGCTGATTGAGTGGAAGGACAATAAGAAGTTGCAGGTATTATGGCAAATAGACAACCAAACAGCATAGTTGCTAGCTACTCAGCTCAAGCCACTGTCGTCACATAGAAAGCATGCCATTTTGCCAGACCTTCTAATTCTTTTTAAAAAAAAATATTTTTTTATTGATTTCAGAGAGAAGAAGGGAGAGAGAGGGAAATAGAAACATCAATGATGACAGAGAATCATTGATTGGCTGCCTCCTGCATGCCCCCTACTGGGGATCAAGCCCGCAACCTGGGCATGTGCCCTTGACCAGAATTGAACCCAGGACCCTTCAATCCACAGACCGACACTATCCATTGAGCCAACCCAGCCAGGGCCAGACCTAATTCTTAAAACAGATATCTTACTTTGTACTTGCAAGCTTCCAATGTTTGAAATACTGCAACCAATTCAAATTTATAAACCATGCATAGGCTATACAACACATATTTATGGAAAGCATTCACACCCTTGACCTGTCTCATGTTCTCTGCAATAAGCACTTCTTCATTAATTATAATTAAGGTATACTTGAGGAAAGCAAAGGCCAATATCTTTGAATGTGAGAACATCAATATGGTGTAGGTCAGTGGTCGGCAAACTGCAGCTCGCAAGCCACATGTGGCTCTTTGGCCCCTTGAGTGTGGCTCTTCCACAAAATACCACATATGAGCACACACGTACAGAAAACTTTGTGGCCCTTGCACAGAAGTCGGTTTTCAACTCTCAAAAGAAATTCCAATTGTTGAACTGTTGATATTTGGCTCTGTTGACTAATAAGTTTGCCGACCACTGGGTTAAGTGAAAGAACACTGCACCAGGTTTCAGAAAACGTTGGTTTCAAGACAGGCACTGCTATTTACTACTAACTGGGTGACCTCTTTTGAATTCATTCATTTGTAAAATGCAATTTCATGAACTATACTAATTCATTGAGCTGTTGTGAGTAGCACATTGGAAAGTAGGTCAAAGCATGTCATAAATTATAAAGCTCTATATAAATACAAGTAAACGCCTGTAAGATAATAGAAAACATGTATTTGTCTCAGCCACTAGGTTCCTGGCATAGAGCTCCTAAAACCCTTGTAAATTCTTAAGTGATTAAAGCATTATGAACATCTCTTGTTCTAATATTTGGTCTTTGACCCATTCTTGACATAAGAACCCTAAAACCCTTATAAATTCTTAAGTAGTAAGAGCACTAGGAAAACCTTTTGTTCTAATGAGACGACTCTGGGTGGCCTCCTGGATGAGGGCTGGTCACTAGTAAGAACAAGCCCTGATTAGAAGCTTGGAATTTCCAGCCCCACTCCCTATTCTTCAGGAAGGGAAGAGGAGCTGAAAAGAAATAACTGATCATGCATACGTGAGAAAGTTTCCATAAATCCCAACATTACGAGGTTCAGAGAGCTTCCAGGTTGGCAAACACATACACACTAGGAGGGTGACACACCCCAACTCCACAGGGACAGAAGCTCTTTAGCTTGGGACCCGCCCAGACCTCATCCTACGTATCTCTTCATCGGGCTGTTCATCTTTATCCTTTTCAAATCCTTTGATAAACTGGTAAACGTGTTTTCCTGAGTTCTGTGAGCTGCTCTGGCAAATTAATCAAACCTGAGGAAGAGATCATAGGAACCTCCAATTTGTAGCCAAACTGGACAGAAGTTGTGAGTAACCTGGGGACCTACTACTTACAATTGGCATCTGAAATAGAGGGGGAGCATCGATGTGGGACTAAGCCCTTAACATGTGTGATCTGACATTATCTCTAGGCCAGTGGTCGGCAAACTCATTAGTTAACAGAGCCAAATATCAACAATTCAACGATTGAAATTTCTTTTGAGAGCCAAATTTTTAAAACTTATACTTCTTCTAACGCCACTTCTTCAAAATGGACTCGCCCAGGCTGTGGTATTTTGTGGAAGAGCCACACTCAAGGGACCAAAGAGCTGCATGTGGCTCGCGAGCAGCAGTTTCCTGACCATGGCTGTAGGCAATGTCAGAATTGAGTTAAATTGTACGACACCCAGTTGGTGTTTCAGAGAATTGCTTAGTGGGAGGAAAATTTCCACATATTTGGTGAACAGAATTGAAGTGTTTTGTGTGAATAGTAAGCAGGACACAGAAGAAAAACTCACAGGAGGCAGACTGAACTAAGTTTTTCTAATACAATGGTTTTAAAAAGAGATATAGATGGGAGGTCTAAACATTTTATATAACCATGTTCAGTCAGTTCCTCATAAAAATAGGAATATAGATTACTTAGCTCATGGGGCTCCTTAAATATACGAAAATTATGAAATTCTTTTCAAATGTTAAGTGCCCTACAATTACTTGGTAATAGAGCACTGGCCTTTTATGGCCAAAAACACAAATGAAGCTGCCTGTAATACTTTCTAAAAAGCTGAGTGTATTCCTGACTTCTCTAAAACAATGAGCAATTTGGAAAAAAATATTCCAGGTCTCAGTTTTCCCCCTTCCCTTTTACGATGTAAGTTTACAATGGGCTAATCACAGAGTCCAGTAACAGGCTGCGTGTTGTTCCCTATGGCTAACGTTTCTGGAGGGCCTGTGCCCATCAGCAGGTCATGTGGGAACAGAGTAGTCAGGTCCAGGTAGCAATGTGGTGAAAAGAGGAAGCAATTCTCCTGGCCATGACTTACAAATTCAGAATCAGGGCTGATAATTCATACGTCTACCTACTGTTATGAAAATGTTTGATGGAAACATTTTTGATAACTGTTGTTCTTATTATCCTGGGACCATTAAAACACACAAGATGTGAAGGCTAAGAAAGAGTGAAAATTCATAAGGAACTGTACTGGATACAAACTCCCTATTATATGTCCTATGAATTCTTCATTTTCAGCTTTTATGAAACCACAATTGGCCTAGCAAACTCAATAAACCAAAACTCTTTCACCGGCCTATTTCTTGTAAAACTGTGAAAGTAGTTGAATGATGGCCACCTGAAAGATTTAAAAGGCTCCAGAATAGTTTTGCATTTAAAAGTACACTTCTGGTAAGATAATGAGATGCTTCCCCCTGCCTCTGTTTTCCAAACTCTTTGAATGACTTTGTAGTTTTAAAAATTGTGTCTTAGAATAAAATCAGCCTGTCATAAAAATAATTCTCCCCGCAATAACATAAGAAAAAGTTCCGATAGTCACATTTGTTCGTGGATGCCATTATGGGATTACTTAGCATCTTTTAAGGAAATCCCGCGGGAGTCAAACTCACTAGTATGACTTAAACATCTCCAAATAAATAAAATGTTAGTTTGAACCACTAAAAAAGACTCTTTAATGCTTTAACTAATAAAAAAGTAAATTAACTAGAGATAAAGCCAAAGTTAATTACTTACTACCTTTGAAGGAGAAAGAGAATAAAAGTTTCCCAGAAGCTCTTTATTTATTAGCATCTTTTAAGGCTAAATCTTTTAAAGTTCACTTGTAAAATAATAGGAAAACAGAGTGAATGTATAGCATAGTGATTAAGAGTGTGGGCTCCAGAGTCAGATTATCTGGGTTCAAATCTTAGTTTTTACCATTATTACATCTGTGAATGTAGGTGGATTGCTTAGGCTCTGTAGAACTTCACCTGAAATTTAACTTAGATTGAAAAAAATAGCATTGAGTGTAAACTTTGTGATACATTTAATTTTCACTTGAATTTAATATTTCTTCCCACTTCTCTGTCAATATAGAACATTAAATAAAACCCACTTCTAAAAAATTCAACTAATATGAATAGTTTTGCAATATCAAATTAAATTTAGCACCTAATCTTAATAAAAAGACAATAATTTTTTAACCTACTTTGTTTATTGAACTTTCCTAGGAATCATCAGATTTAGTATCAACAGACACAGGAAATATCATAGATAGCAACTTTCCAATTCATTAATTTCCATATGTAATCAAATCAATTGCTGTATTATAAAGATATCAAAGCTGTATTTCTTTAAGAAAAATTGTCAGTGCTATACTAGGGGTGTAACTCCTTATAAAACAAGCACAAATGTGGCATCAAACTTACTTTTCCAAAGAAGCCTTTGAAGAACTTCCTTTCCTGGAGGAACAGGGGGACAAGTCGAGTGCTATTATTGTATGGGCTTAATGTCCCAGGGTTTCACACCAATAAGCACATATGGAAGTTGGGTAAAGGGCAAAGTAGGAGAAGGGGAGGGAGTGAGTTTTAAAGAGTTATCCATATCAGAAGTGACATGAAAATGCAGGGAAACATACTACAGTGCCTAAGAATCCATGGAAGGAATGCAAAGAAATCAGAACCTATATCCATGCAGAGCAATTAATTATAGTCTCTATTTACTTTTAGAACAGAGATTATCCAAATTTGGTAGCAGAGAAAAATATTAGGACATACTGGTTTCGTGAGATTTGCATTTTAAATTTCATAACAGTGAATAGTAAATAGGAGATTAGTCCCATACACATTTTTCAATTGAAAAGTGAAAGTCATCAATTAAAAAACCCGTTCACATTCAAATGACCACATAATCATACAGCAACACATACAATTAAATTAATGAATGTGCAGCCAGGATCACTGTCAGACTTTTTCTTACTGAGTTAAAGATTTCACTTGGAGAATCCTTACTTATGCAATAGGATTAATCTGTATGTGTGCTGATCAATTCCACAGCAATCATGGGGAAATAATAAATATATTCTACTGCAAACACAGAATAAATCTCCTATAAAGAACACAGGCTAATGATTTCACTGGATCAGAGAAAAGAAGCATATGAGAACAAAACCACATCTGTGGACCACAACTGAAATTTAAGGATTAGGATTTTGTTTTCTTTTTAAATGTTACTATTTTGGAAAAAGAACTTGCATTGACAGTTATAAGTATATAATCCTAAAACTATGTACATGAGACAAACATAGCTGCTTATGGTCTCAGCACCAATTTTTAAGTATATACAAACTTTAAAACTGACCACCATTTAAAATCTGAATTTATGCAAAGATGGACTCGAATTTGCCCAAGCTAGCTTAAATTTCTTTACATTTTTTAGATTTATACTTTAAGCCTTTACTTTTTATAGTCAGTTTTTAATGATGGGCAAATATCTAGAAAAAGACAACTTTCTAAAATTTGACTCTCAGAGAATTTATAAAGTCTTTCAAACACAGTTTGCTTGCTCCCTAAGTTTTGAAAATGATAAGCAATATCAAATATTTCTATAAAATGTTTTGAACTTAAGCTAGAAAAATAATGAAGTAATTGGGGTAGTTATCACAAGACTGACATTTTATCTCTGCTGCCAAGTTTGATGACCTTAGTTTTGTTAGACTGTGAGCAACCATCAGCTTTTAAGGATGCAGCCAAAGTTAACAGATTCACCATTCTTAAGGATAGTGAGGTAAGGGAAAGAGATTCATTAATATTTAATTTAGCTTCCAGAAAAGCACTTGTTAAACATGGAGTCTGACTTCTTTTTATAAAAGATCTCAGGTGTTAATGAAAAAAGTTTTCGTGCAAAATGCATAAAAAGATAGTTATTAGAGAATATATTTTTTAAACAATTAAGTTATGATTCTTTTACCTGCTAAAACAAAAAATATATTATGAAAAAATATATCAAATAGTGAATAAAAAAAATCAACATATTAGAAACTGATAGTGTAATGAAACTAGTCTAAAACCAAGACAGAGGGAGACACATTTACAGAGACAATGGGAAGAAAAGACCTTTTAAATGGAAGGGCACTTTGGATCATTGTCAAACAATATAATCAAAGGCCTGATAAATATTTTACAGAATAGATTGATAAATTACATTACTCCTCATCTAGCACTATGACAAAAAAACACTGAAAATGAACAATAGATTATCCATAGACAGATCCCATACAATCTAAATCTCTAAGTGATTAATTTGTGAAATTATATCACAGAGTAAATGAGTGAAAAGTAGCTATTAACTAACTTTATGTACACAAAGTAAAAAACAAAACATGCTTAGGCTCCGAGAAGCATATGTTTAAAATACTATTTTATTTTAGTATCTCTTCATTTGAGAATGTTAAGTTTGCAAATAACTTCTAATTGAAGTTAAAATAATCCTAAATGTTAAAGAGCTACTTCAAGAAAAAAGAAAACTACAATTAATTTAAAAAAAAAAAAAAGAAAGTTTCCAGCCATGTCTGAGAAGCAGCCGTGGGGCAGGGGCAGGCAAGGAGCGAGCTGTTCCGGGCCTGGCTGCTCAGGGCCTGGCCTCTGTTGCTCTGGTTCATTCCACAACCAGCTGCTCCGGGTCTGGTCACTGCCGCTCCCGACCTAGTTGCTCTGGACTTGGCTGCTGCTGCTCCGGGCCTGGCTGGAAACTCTCACGGGAACTTGAGGGTCTGCTGAATCAAGTGATGAAGGCTTAGATCTGGATGTGTTGGGTTAGTTTAGGGCTGGGGTGTTGATCTGTGAGTGCCTTGGGTGGGGCCTGGATGAGGCTGGTGGAACTATTGGGAAATGTCTTTTGTGTGAAGTGTATCATTGGGCATGTGGAGGTATTATTGATATGAGAAAATGCTAAGTAACTGATTTACTATCTGAAAAGGGATTTACTATTGGGGAAAGGGAGGGAAGAAGAGACTGAACATAAACTGCACCTATGGATGAGGACAATGGGGGATGGGGAGGGGGCGGAGGGTGGGGTGGGAACCTGGTGGAGGGGGGAAGAAGTGAGGAACCTTTGTAATAATATGAACAATAAAGATTGATTTAAAAAAAAAAAAAAGAAAAAGAAAAAAGAAAAAGAAAACTATACTTGCAAACTATCCTGCTTCCTTAATTTCCCATAAACTTAAAAAGCACCAGAAGGTTAGATTTTTATTTTAAAGATCATTTAGGTGATAAGTTTAAGATGCAACCTTCTCAGTACAGTGTTAGAGTATTTATACAAGGGGGAAGACTGAGTACAATAAATAGGAAATTGACATCAGTTAACTAAAACTTTCATCTTGTCTTTTAAAATTACATGTTCCCTATGTAAAATTATAAACAGCATTTGCTACAAGTCTCTTGGATAGGGTTGGTCTGAAAATTTTCAAAGAATTTCTTGAATGGAAAGTTCAGAAATGGCCCAGCCAGTGTGGCTCATGGTTGAGCATGACCTACAAACCAGGAGGTCATGGTTTGATTCCAGGTTAGGGCACATGCCTGGGTTGTAGGCTTGATCCCCAGTAAGGGGTGTGTAGGAGGCAGCCAATCAATGATTCTATCTTATCATTGATGTTTTTATCTCTCTCTCCTTCTCACTTCCTCTCTCTAAAAACCAATTTAAAAAATCTTAAAAATAAATACCACAGGGAAATAAGGGTTTTTAGAGTTATGTAAAAGGATTTAAAAACATGAAATGTAATTATGGTTATGGTGATTATTATGAGATTCAATTTGACCACATACTGAGAACTGAATTGTTTTCTATATATTCATTCCAGAAATATATTTTGAGTGGTTACTGTGTGCCAGACACTGTTTTAAGTATAGGTATAATTTTTTTGTGTGACAAATTTGGTTCCTATTTCTGGTGAAAATAAAAACTCACTAAATTTTATAATCTAAATAGTCCTGCACTCAAATAATCATGCTTATTATAGTTTATCATCTTCATATAGTTTATCATCTTCTATCATGCTTATTATAGTTTATCATCTTCAAAATAAAACAAAAACACTCAACTCAAAAATTAGTTTTAAAACTCAATGGTAAATAGTCACTATCTCTGGAATTGCAAGAGATTTTATGTACTGTTTTTGTTGATTTGTATTTTAAAAAATGAAATTTACTACCTATATAATAAACAGATGTTTCTATTTTAAAATAGGTTTTTTCTCTTTTTTTCCATCACCATCTATCCCTCCATCTCCACTCAACTCACTCCCCCTAACCCTGCAATCACCACCTGTTGTCTGCGTCCATGACTTCTCTCCCTCTTTTTTTTTCATTATTACTCAATCCCTCCACCCTCCCAGCCCATCTCTACCTCCCGGGCAGCCTGCTCTCCCATCTATGAATCTGCCTTTATTTTGCTTGTTAGTTCAGTTTGCTCCCTAGATTCCACTTATGAGTAAAATCATATGGTACTTGTCTTTCTCTGACTGGCTTTTAAAAAAACCTAGACAGTTAAGAGGGTTAACTACTCGTAACTACTCACTAAACAACTAAATACCATTTCTTAATACTTTCTGGCCAAATTTAAACCATCCTTAGATTTTCCTAATTTAGAGAGTGAACCTGAAGCTATACTCTGAGTTAAAAGACTTTCTAAAGGTTCATTCCACAGTGACCTTCTAACTGTAAGCTATAGAAGTTATAAGACAGAGGGGGTTGAAGGGAAACATATTATACGTAATACTTTCAACAATAAAGAATTATTTTAAAAACAAAGTTATAAGCTTTTAATAACTACTTATAGTTTGTTTCAGGTCCATCTAGTCTGTTCACTGATTTGTCTATTGCTTTCAGTCAGTTGTTTATGATGTTTTAAATGGTCTTTAGCTGTAGCTGGTTTGGCTCAGTGGATAGAGCATCGGCCTTTGGACTGAAGGGGCTGGGTTCAATTCTGATCAAGGGCACGTAACTTGGTTGCAGGCTCCTCCCTGGCAGGGCTCTGCTCAGAGCATGTGCAGAAGGCAACCGATGTGTTTCTCTCACAACGATAATTCTGTCTTTCCGTCTCTCTTCCATTCTTTCTAAAATCAATGGCAAAGTAACCTCTGGTGAGGATTAAAAAAAATAATTAAAAATAATTCCTTAAACAACTGTAAGACAAATCATTGCAGAACATTCAACTGTTCTGTTGAAACTGGTTTGGCTCAGTGCATAGAGCATCAGCCTGCGGACTGGAAGGTCCCAGGTTCAATTCCAGTCAAGGGCATGTACCTTGGTTGCGGGCACATCCCCAGTAGGGGGAGTGCAGGAGGCAGCTGATCGATGTTTCTCTCTCATCATCAATGTTTCTAACTTTCTATCCCTCTCCCTTCCTCTCTGTAAAAAAAAAAAAAAAAAAAAAAAAAAAAAAAAAAAATCAATAAAATATATTAAAAAAACAAAACTTCTTAGCTAAACATCTTATTTTTCTAGTGAACTTAAAATTTTGTTAAAGAGATTAAATTTATATTTCTTGAAAAATTACATTTTCTGGAGCTGTATTTAACTGAGAAATATATATTCAGGTGGACATAGAAAGTATAAATTATAGTTTCATGTACCATAACACATGGATAACAAGTCTCTTTAATATTATGGTAATAGGAGAGCACAGAAAGACTAGGAAGGGCTTCAATCATTTAAGAATTTAAATGACCAAAATCTAAGTCTAAGGTAAAGGGTATGTAAACATACCCTTTGCCTCCTGCATGCGCCTGTGGTAATCTGAGGTAAAGGTATGTGTATAGTATATATTGTATCTACACTGATTTTTTTATTTTAGTTCTTTGCATAGTATAATCAGTTATTTTTCTCTTCCTTTCCCTTTTACAACAGATTCAGGCATTTCTTCCAAGATATAATTTATTTCTCTGAATAGTTGCTCCCTTGATTTTATATCTTTTATATTGAGGAATTATTTAAAAAAAAAAAAAGTACTACAGAATGTATCAAGAAGCAGAAAACTTTTGATTAAGTAAACTGAAAAAAAGCACTCATTAGTAGCCAAACTCAAGGCAGCCCACTATACCAGCAAATCCAAAGCAACAAGTATTTAATGCTATATGGGGCAAAGGCATGCTTAAAGCTTTAAGAGCAAGGGGTGAGGGTGAAAAAGGCCAAACACTGGAGAGAAGGAGGTTGTGAAGAGGGCTGTCAGAATTTATGAAACATTCTTCAAATCTATCCAAAATATGAAATAAACACTTTAATCTGAACCTTTATTAACTCTGATCCCATTTTCTCCTTTTATTAAATAAACAGGCAGGTGCCTAGGATGTGTTCTATGGCATAACAGGAGAGAAAACATTATTTATCAAATATGCTGAAGTTTGTGCAAGAAGCAGAGTGATATATTATGTTTGAGGGTTATACAAAAGGAAATTGGGGAGTAGCAGTCCAATTAATAAGTCCTCCTAACACAGATATCCCCATCTTCTATTTTTTCCTAAAAAGCCGATCATGGGTCACTAAAATTTATGAGCAAAATCTTTTAAGAGAATATTTATAGCATATGGACCAATACTGGCAACCATCAAATACATACAGCTTTCAATCTTTTTACAGCATCTTCACAGATGTGCATTCCTCTTGATTCATCAACTTCTACATGGCCAAGGTACTGTAAATAGAAAAAAAAAGTTAGGGCTTTTGCTATGTTTAGTGAGTAGTTCCCTGCCCCTTAATTCCAAATTAAGTATCAAAAGAAACTGGAAACTGTCATTCTGGGAAGTATTTTTCTCTGCAGCATTTGCGATCTTACTTCTGGCATGCAATCAGTTTGCTTCAAATAAATTTATAAAAAAAATCTCTACATGTTTGGATAGTCTTTACATTGACACAGTAAATATGCATTATATATAGTTCTAAGATGAAAGAGTATACTCTCTTTAAGGCAAATCTGAATCATATAAAATCCAAGAAGACATATAATCAAATCCTGCATAGCGACCTTTTAGTCAAAGACAACCGCATATACAACAGTGCTTAAATATAATAAGATCAAAACGGAGCTGAAAAATTCATATTGCCAAGTGACATCTAGCTGTCTTAACATCCTAATGCAACACATTACACAAATACCACTGTGCTATAACTGCCTCCAGAATTCAGGGCAGGAATAGACTGTATGGGTTTGCAGCCTGGCAGCTGTAGGGGAACACATTTTTGTCACCCCAGAATATCTCTTTGGCATAAGGATTATTTTAGGCTGGCAATTTTAAGAAACAGCATTCAATGGAGAAGCTCTGAAATCCAAGCAGAAGTTATTCTTTGGAGGAGACCTTTCCCTTTGTAAGGGAACTCTCCATTTCGAAGGGTGTCTCCCTGCTACCCCCGGAAGAGAAGAATAAACTTATCTCTAGAAACTTATTAATTCTGAAGACAAAAGATTTAAATCTGCTAACAACTTTACCCATTTATAGTGTTTTTTTCCTCCCTTAATCAACACCCCCACCTGCAACATCTTCATTTCTCTTCAGCTGAAGATGGTATTTAAGTAGTGCTAGCTTTAGCAATTTTGGCTCAATAAGAGATAGCATGAGCTTTAAGACATATTCCACATTTAGTCATCTTTATTTATCTTTTTTACTATTAAATTGGAAAAAAAATAATTTAATATTACAGGCTGTTAAAAATGTGATGTTTGGCCAAAACCGGTTTGGCTCAGTGGATAGAGCGTAGGTCTGCGGACTGAAAGGTCCCAGGTTCGATTCCGGTCAAGAGCATGTACAGTGGTTGTGGGCAGGGGGTGTGCAGGAAGCAGCTGGGGGTGTGCAGGAGGCAGCTGGTCAATGTTTCTCTCTCACTGACGTTTCTAGCTCTCTATCCCTCTTCCTTCCTCTCTGTGGAAAATCAATAAAATAGTTTGTGAGGCACGATAGTAAAAAGCGAGGACAATTCTTTGGCAAGTGGAATAGAGAAAGCAAGACGATGGCTGAACAAAGTGGCTAAGCAATTTACAGCAGATACAGGTCACCAGGGTGGAAAGCCCCAGGTGCCTAGCCACAGGCAGAACTGGTGCTGGATCTTCCCCCCAGGGTGGCCTTTTCTTCCATAGCTGGTCATTCGGTCCACACCCTCCTGACCTTTCCTCCCTAGAGATATCTAGGCCTCAGTTATATTTTCAGCTCCAGGCCAAGAAAAGCAGCAAAACCAGGCAGGTGACTCCAAGACCAGTAATGACTCCATGCCCTGGCACTGACCAATCAGTGGAGACCACAACCCTAAGAGGGCACACATGGAAAGTGATGAATATTCTATTGAGATCTTCCCTAAGACCACCCTAAACTCCCAGCCTTTAAAACCCTCAAGACAAAGGTCCCAACACACTTCTCCGTAGGCCACGCCTTTCCCTTTCTCCTCCTGGAGCTGTCCGGGGCTAATCCTCTGGCCCTGTTTCCAAGGTCCCTTTTTGCTGACTCTCCAGCGAGCTGACAGCAGCCCCGCCTAGTCTTCTATCCTAAGCCCTTCCTTGTTTCACTGTCCTCAGCTTTAATAAATGTACTTTCACAATCACCTGGATTTGTGTTGTGACATCTTTCCTGTACAAAGTTAAGAACCACACACTACCAGTCTGCCCAAGGCAACCCGCTCTGGGCTTGGGCCCTGTCCAGTAAGATTTGGTGGTTCTGTTAACTAGTTTTAGATGGTTAGATTGAACTCACACCCAGAAATAATAGAGTACTTTATCACTGAATACTACTGTTTCATCAGTCAGATGCTACAGTGACAGGCATATTACACTCCAATTCTGGAAAGCTGTATTTTTTTGTTTATAAGTTAGTGATGAATGAACTTTTAAATTAACTCTGGTTGAATAAGCTTTAGAAAGTATTTCTTCATGTTCAGTTGACATGTTGCTTTTTTCAAAGCCCAATAGTATATTCTTAATTTCTTGGTCCAAGGGAAAAAGAAAATTAAATACTGGGAAAGAATATAACCTCAACAACTGAGCAGTCTGCATCGCTGTTCTGACATTTTAAGAAATTCTGATATTTCATTCTTGGCATATATACTATTTTTTTTAATTTTTAATTTTTTAATTAATCCTCACCTGAGGATATTTTCCCATTGATTTTTAGAGAGTGGAAGGGAGGGGAGAAGAAAGAGAAACTATGATAAGAGACACATCAATCGGTTGCTTCCCACATGTGTTCCGCCAGGGATCAAACCTACAATCTAGGTATGTGTCCTTGACCAGGAATTGAATCCATCGCAGCTGTGCAGGCCGATGCTCCAACCAACTGAACACTGGCCAAGGCTAATTTGTTATTATTATTTTTAAAATATATTTTTAATTGATATCAGAGAGGAAGGGAGAGGGAGAGGTAGAAACATCAATGAGCCCTAACCGGTTTGGCTCAGTGGGTAGAGCGTCACCCTGCAGACTAAAGGATCTCTGGTGCGATTCTGGTCAGGGGCACATGCCCAGGTTGCAGCTCGATCCCCAGTGAGGGGCTTGCAGGAGGCAGCCGATCAATTATTCTATCCCATCACTGGTGTTTCTCTTTCCCCATTCCTCTCCGAAACCAATAAAATAATATATTAAAAACAAAAACAAAAACAAACAAACCCACAAACATCGATCAGAATCATTGATTGGCTGCATTCTACACAACCCCTACTGGGGATTGAGCCCACAGCCCAGGCATGTACCCATCAGCTTCCAAATTCCTTCTTAATTTCTGGTAACTGGAGAGATCTGTATTGAATGACTGCTGTATTTTAAGAGCAAAACTTAGTTTGAAAATGTATTCAGCATTTTTAGATATTTATATTGGTAGTATTTCTATGTTAGGTTATTCTACATTCTGCCAGAATCAGAAGACCCACAATATTTTCTAACTAAACTAAGTGGTTTTCCTATCTATTGATTTTAGTATATCTTATAAGTAGCCTAAAACCCTGCAATTTCCTATCTTTTGAAACCTTTTTTGGTTGATTCTCTTCGGTTTTTCATATAGACATCATCTGCAGAAACAATCGCAACAAAAAAATGTATTGATTTCCCACATTTACAGTTTTTATTTATTTTCATATATAAAGATGACTGTCAATTCTAAATGTGTTGAATAAAGCAACCTCTTCTTCCTCCTAAATTCAATGTAAATGTTTAATCATTCTGCATGACTCTAGGAGAGTTTTTCAATCACTTAAAGAATCCTATCCTATCTAGTAATAGAGTAATATGTAAATTAACCATCACTCCACAACAAAATGGTGGCCCCCATAGCCACAAGATGGTGGCGTCCAGTCCCCTCAGCTCCGCTGCTGGAGTGTCAGGCCTATCTGCAGGAGCAGCGAGGCTGGATCTGTCTCCAGAGGGATTTTTGATCTGCCCCAGACAGGGCAGTCAGAGCCTGGACAGCAGTTAGTGCTGCAAACAGAGCCCGGACAAGGGCTTAGAGGCTTCTTTAGCGTGGAGGCGACAGAAGAACCCCCAGGCCCAGCAAACAGAGCCCGGACAGCAGGACATGGTGTTTCCTTAGAGCAGCAGCAGCAGGGGAGACCCAGGCCCAGCAGACAGAGCCAGAACAGCAGAGCTTGGGAACTTCCTTAGCATGGCGGTGAGATGAGCACTCCCAGGCCCGGCAGTCAGAGCCCAGATAGCAGGGCATGGAGGCTTCCTTAGCACAGAAGTGGCGGGAACACCTCCAGGCCCAGTAGACAGAGCCAGGACAGCAGGGCTTGGGGACTTCCTTAGTGTGTCAGTGAAGCCCCCAGGCCTGGCAGACAGAGCACACTGCAGGGCATTGGGGCTTCCTTTGCATGGCACATGGCGAGGCAGGCAGAGTGGAGAGCAGGGCATGGGGGCTTTATCTCCATGGCTGCAGCAAAACCTCCAGGCCCACAGAGAGCAGAGAACCATGGGGAGTAGGCCTAAGCCATCAGTAGGACATCCCCTGAGAACTCCTAGATTGTAGAGGGTGCAGGTTAGGCTGAGGGCCCCCCGTGAATGAATTTCGTGCACTGGGCCTCTAGTCTATAGTAATCTATAATAATAAAAGTGTAATATGCCAATCAATCAAATGACCAAACAGCAGAACGACAGTGCAGACGACCACACCATGACAGGCACTGGCGCCAGGTCAGCCAATTCGGGTGTGATACAATTGGTCAGGGAGCCCTGCCACTGCCCCATGATCACCCTGCAGAAGGAGGCCCAGGCCACCCTCTGCATGGCACTTGATAGGGGGGGGGAGGCTCTGCAAAAGATTGCCCCAAAGAGGGAGGGCCAGGCCACCGGCTGGCCGGGCAATTGATGGGGGGAGGGGGCCTCCCTCTGCAGGGCAATCAATCTGGGGCCCCGCGATTGATTGCCCCACAGAGGGAGGCCCAGGCCACTGGCCAGCGATGCCATGGAGGGTATGCGGGACCGGCCAGCAATCGCCCTCAGAGAGAGGCCCAGGCCAGCCAAGCAATCACACCCCACTCCTGTGGCCTGCAGAGGGAGGAGACCAATAGCAGGGGAGGGGGGCACAATGCCGCACAGATGGCAAGCAGTGGCAACAGTGGGGGTAGGGCTAGCTGCCGGCAGCTGGGGGAAGGAAAGCCCCAATAGGCGTGATCACTGGCCAGGCCTAGGGACCCTAATGAGAGGTCCCAAATTGCGAGAGGGCACAGATCAGGATGAGGGACCTCTCCCCCCTACACCCCTCCTACCCCCTCTGTGCACAAATTTTGTACACTGGGCCTCTAGTCTATATATACATATACATACACACACACACACACACACACACACACACACATATATAAAAAGTCTAAGCAACCGGCCAACTGTTTGACCGACTGACCAATAGGTATGATGCACACCGACCACCAGGGGGCAGATGCTCCAATGCAGGAGCTGCAGAGCTGTGGTGACTTGGCAGCTGCAGTTCTCGGGTGACACACCCAGAACTAGAGAGGAGGGAACCTGATTCCAGACTGCATCACCTGAGAACCACCCTCTCACAATCTGGGACCCCTTGGGGAATATTGGAGAGCTGGTTTTGGCCTAATCCCCGCAGGCCAGGCCAAAGGACCCCACTGGTGCATGAATCCATGCATCGGGCCTCTAGTTTAAATATAAAGAGAAAAATCACCAATTTTAACCTGTTTTATTAAATCTATTACTGAAGCAGAATATGAAGATATTAGTTTTGTGAGGACTTGACATATAATAAACTGCCCATTCTTTCTACACATACATTTATAGAAACGTGATCTTTTACCTTAACTGGGAAGCTACATTTTCCGGTACGAACCCCTTCTTCATCTGTTTGCCACTGATGTGGGCGACTGGCCTCTGGAATATAAACATCTTTCTTTCTCCTAAAACTTTGCCGTAGTTTGTTCATTTTAATTTTTACAACCTGCAGAGTTAAAGAAATATGAAAAATTATTACCTTCTCATGTATTTACATTTTGGTTTGCAATATTAATGAAAAACTAATGTACCAAAGTAAAGATTTTGGTTTGCGGGGGAAATGAGCAATTATTATACTTCCTCTAATACTAAGTTCAAACAAATCATTTCACATTTTGAAGACAATTAGAATACTAATCTTGTAAAACAATAATAACCTTTTAGGATTTGTACAGATTTTTGTTGTTTTTTTGTTGTTTGTTTTCTCATTTTTATTTTTTTCTATTTTTTTAAATTAAGGTATATGTGTACATATCTTTCCATTACTCCCGATTTGCACAGATGTTATCCTGAGACTTTAATTATAATAACTCAATGAGTATATCCCTATTGATCTACCTCTCAAATCCATTCTGACTCCTAAAAATGAAAATCTGTACAGGTAGGCCAAACTATAAACTGTTAAAAATTTCTGAAAACTTTTATACTTATTAGGAAAAAAATTCAGTCTAAAACATTAAAATTTAAGGACTTTTTAGGCTTACTATTGAAGACACTAAGCAAAGCAGGGATTACAGTCACCGTTTTATAGAAAGATGTTTTACAAAAAGGAATAAAATAAGGTTTCTTTTAAATATGTTTAAAGGAAAAGTTCTACTAGGATAAAATTATTCTAAAGAAGAAATTTCTTACAAACAATATGATATCAGAATGTACTTTCATATCTATAATCATTACAGATATGAAAGTAGCCCAAGAGAATCATTCATCAGTTGCCTCCTCGTGCCCCTCTACCGAGATCGAGCATGAGTTAATGAAGTAGCCCAAGTCTCATCATTAACTCTGTAAGTTAAAAAATATTAAACTATAGTCAGTTTTTTGTTTTGTTATTGAAAGAGGCACTTCTCTACTGCTTTTCTAGGTGCAACAGAAATCACAAACTGAGAGAAGGAAGACCTAACTGATAATAACAGAACATCCAAGAACCAATGAATAGCCCTAACCGGTTTGGCTCAGTGGATGGTACGTCGGCCTGTGGACTGAAGGGTCCAAGGTTCAATTCCAGTCAAGGGCATATGCCTTGGTTGCAGCCACATCCCCAATGGCGGGTATGCAGGAGGCAGCTGATTAATGTTTCTTTCTCATCGATGTTTCTAACTATCCCTCTCCTTTCCTCTCTGTAATAAATCAATAAAAAATATATTTTTTTAAAGAAAAAGGAAAAAAAACAATACACCAATGAATAAACATAATGAGTGTCCCTTTACAGAGCAAATCAAAATCTAAAATCAATACCTCCAGCCCTAGCTGGTTTGGCTCAGTGAATAGAGTGTCAGCCTGCAGACTCAGGGTCCTGGGTTCAATTTCGGTCAAGGACATATCCCCGGGTTGCGGGCTTGATCCCCAGTATGGGGTGTGCAGGAGACAGCCAATCAATGATTCTCTCTCATCATTGATGTTTCTATCTTTCTCTCTTCCCTTCCTCTCTGAAATCAATAAAAATGTTATTTAAAAATAAAATCAATAAAAAATAAAATCAATAACTCCAATTTTTTATTAAGTTGCACTGCTCATTATTTTAAGCACCTCACAGACTAAAAGAAATCTTAACTTGAGAAAATGAGTGACAAAGCTATATAAACATCCTCTTTGTCAGAAGTGTTAAACAGCAAAAGATTGAACATTGATTCCCATGTGACACCACTGAAAGACTTGAAAATCAAAGTTTGCGTTCTGTGGAAAGTCATTTTGTATTTTAAAATGCATAATGCCACAGGAGAACGTTATCAAATTAGCTATTTTACACAGACAAGTCAATCTTACCACATATCTTCTCAAAAGGTAAAAAGTCTGACAGATAAATGGCAATGTAAAAAAAATCTCTGGGTTTTTAAAAAATAAATTTATTATTTCTCAATTAAAAACTGATTCACAGCGTACAGGAGGTAGATGTTAAATAATCAAAGGGCTGGACAAAAGGTAGTCTAATCCTCTGCCTTGAAGTAGATCACTCATTTCTAAACTAAGATAAATGAGAGTCTACTTTAACAGATTCCAAAATGAATTACATAAGCTTCCTTGATTATACATCCTGTTATACTCTTTCATATCACATTTTAAAAATATATAAAAATACAAGAAAATGAAAAACACCCATATCCCTTGCTCAAATTGGCACTCTAAGAATCCTGTGACTACATGAATCCTTTCTTCTTCATTTTTTTCCCTCTTAACAAAACAGGCTACCCTTCTACAGAGTTAGGCAGGCCAGACACCCAAGAGGCATCACTGCAATCACCCTTTCTCTGACCAGTGACCCCACTGATGTTACCTCCTCAGTATATCTTTAATTGATCCCCCAACCACCACCACATGAGTTCCACTAGCCTTAGACATTTTTGCTTAAATTATTTCAAAAGCCTTTCACTTAATGGTCTTTTTTGCTTCCAAGATAAGTCCATTCCACTCTGTCCTCCCGACTACTGCCAGAGTGCTTTCTAAAACAAATCTGACCACGCAATTACTCTGCTTAAAATTTCAATTGCTTCACTTCACTTTCAAGCCCAAATTCCTAAGCAGGCCAAACACAGTCCTTTTCATTTGGTTTCACTCACCAATCTTTTCAGCAGTCCCCATTCACATGCTAAGCTCCAGCCATACTAAAGTACAAGTCTCCAAACAAGGCAGGCCCTCTTTCAGAACTTCTGTATATGTTCCTAACCCGTGCCTAGAAAGACCTTCCCCTGTTTGCCTCTGGTATAAGTCTATTCATCATCTTTTAAAGTCAGTTCAGGAGTCTTCAAGGAAGCTAGGATTTTTTTCTGACAAGCCCCTACCTGGCCTGGGGTCAGGTCCTTCAACTTCATGATTCCCATGAACACCTACTGCTTACTTCTATTACTGTATTCACCAAAACTTTTAGCAACTTTCTATTTCCTTAGTAGTAGACTATATTTTGTTTGAATAGTACCCCTACATCCTAACACAGTGCCTGTCATATATATGACAAAAGGTAGTTCAATCCTCTGCCTTTAAGTAGATCACTCATTCTGTACTATAAATAAAATAGAAACTAAAAGATAAAATAGACCCCTATCATATTACCGTGTTTCCCCGAAAATAAGACATCCTCCGAAAATAAGACCTACTTACAGGTTTCCTTCTGAGTGAAAATAAGGCATCCCCCCGAAAATAAGCCCCCCCCCCCCAAGGCTCTGTCTCAGAATGCTATTGCTAAACATGAGAGATTTGGTCCACTGATTCTGAAAGAAATGGAGTCACAAGAAATTCACCAGGAAATTCAGGAATTCGATTGTTAAGATGATGTTCCAGAAGATGATGACATGATTGTCATTGAATAAATGAGCAAATTCTTGATACTGTAGGATCCACAGTTTGTCTGGTTTATGTTGACAACTACCATACTACCGTACTGTATACAGGTAATAAATTTCCTTTATTTTCATTTAACAATAAATATGTACCATATTCTTCTTCATGGAAAAATAAGACATCCCCTGAAAATAAGACCTAGCGCATCTTTGAGAGCAAAAATTAATATAAGACACTGTCTTATTTTCGGGGAAACAGGATATATGGTATTTACTAGGTAGGGTTGATGTAGACATAGAAAACCAGAGAATCATCAGTGTTGGAAGAAACTGCAGAGGGAATAGCAGGCCAACCTCCCATTGACAAAGAAACCACTTTGACAACTTCCCCTAAAGAAAAATATCTAGCCGAAACCGGTTTGGCTCAGTGGATAGAGCGTCGGTCCCAGGTTCAATTCCGGTCAAGGGCATGTACCTTGGTTGCGGGCACATCCCCAGTAGGGAGTGTGAAAGAGGCAGCTGGTCGATGTTTCTCTCTCATCGATGTTTCTAGCTCTCTATCTCTCTCCCTTCCTCTCTGTAAAAAATCAATAAAATATATTAACCTGTGAGAAGGACCATCCCTCTCACAATCCAGGATTGCTGGCTCCCAACTGCTCACCTGCATGATTGCCTCTAACCACTTCTGCTTGCCAGCCTAATCACTCCCTAACCATTCCTCTGCCAGCCTGATCGATGCCTAACTGCTCCCCTGCTGGTCTGCTTGCCCCTAACTGCCCTCCCCTGCTAACCCAGTAACCCCAAAATGCCCTCCCTTGCCAGCCTAGTCACCCCTAACTTCTGTCCCTGCCAGCCTGGTTGCCTCCAACTGCCTTCCCCTGGTGGGCTAGTCCCCCCCAACTGCCCTCCCCTGTTGGCCCGATCACTCCTAACTGCCCTTCCCTGCAGGCCCAGTCCCCCGCAACTGCCCTCTGCTGTAGGCCTGGTCCATCCCAACTGCCCTTCCCTGAAGGCCTGTCCCCTCATCCCCAACTGCCCTTCCTTGCAGGCCTGGTCCCCCACAACTGCCCTCTCTTGCAGGCCTAGTCTCCCCCAACTGCCCTCCCTTGCAGGCCTGGTCCCCACCAACAGCCATCCATTGCAGGCCTTTTTCTCACTCAGTGGTGAAAATGTCAGCTGACAGACAGAGGGTCACGGGTTCAATTCCCACTCAAGGGCATACACTTCAGTTGCAGGTTCAATCCCCGATAGCGACCGAGGCACATGAGGGAGGCACATAATTGACGTGTCTCTCTCATGTCAATATTTCTCCTCCCCTCCCTTTTACTCTAAAAAAATACGTGAAAAAATATCCTAGAGTAAAGATTTTAAAAATATATAATTTTTTACATAAAATCATATGTTTTTCACAAAATCATATATTTTTTAAATATATGGCAGGCCTGGTCCCCCCAACTGCCTTCCCTTGCAGGCCTGGTCTCTCCCAACTACCCTCCCCTGCTTGCCTGATTGCCCACAATTGCCCTTCCCTGCTGGCCATCTTGTGGCGGCCATCTTTGATCACATGGGTGCGGCCATCTTGTGTGTTGAGAGATGGTCAATTTGCATATTACTCTTTTATTAGATAGGATTAACTATGCTCCTGGGATTATTTTATGAT